GGGGGAAAAGGCTCCCTCCATTTGTTCATCATCATAACCATACCGTGGGCACAAGTTTTTTATCAAACTTGTCCAGGACCAAATGGGGAAACAAATAATGCATTGAAAACAAATTCGATTTTGTGTTCTTTATCATCAAGTAGTAGTCAGCCTCTATGTTTCCTCCTCCTTTCTGAACCTTTAAGGTAATTTTTTTTTTTACCGGGCTGCTTTTTTCCACCTTGCTTGTTATACTTGTTCTTTCCCGCCTTGGAGAGCAACTCCTCTTTACGATCAGAGCGAGGCATACTTTTTCCGGTTTCTTCTTCTTCCTCGTCAAGGGAACATACTTAATTTCGACGTTCCTGTCTTCGAGGCACAGCTTGCACCCATCGGGGTGGTCCATATAAAATGAGCTGTCCCTTTTATTACTATTACACTTATTTTTCTTCTTCAAATAGATGAGGCAATGTTTGTTCAAGGGGCACTGACTACACTGTGGGGAGTTATTACAAATGCTGGACCCCAAGTCCATTAAAGCCTGGCTGAACTCAGAATAATTGGAGTCCTCTTCGCACAAAATCTGGCTCACCCGTTCACAGTGCTTCGCTAAAATGGAGGAGTAGGTATAATTAATCGTGTCCGTAATTCTAGAAAGAATCCTAATCACATTTGTGTCGAGGCATATATCTTTGATGTTGTACAAATGTATGCAGATCGCCTTGGACGTGTAATCCCCTATTCCTGGCAGCTGCTTCAGTAACTTTAAATCGTTTGGAAACACCCCATCGTATTTCTCAACCACCTGTTTGCAACACGCTACTAGGTTCTTCACTCTGTGGTAGTACCCCAGTCCCTTCCACTCTTTGAAGACGTCCAGTATGTCACATTCGTTTAGCTCGAAAATGGTGCCCCATCTGTTCATCCACTTGAGGTAGAAATCTAGGACTGTACTGACCCTCGTTTGTTGAAGCATTACTTCGCTTACGCATATTTGGTAGCCCCGAAGACTTAACTGTTGTTTCTCATTTGGAGGCAATGAATCATCCTCTTTTTTTACTTCTGCCTGGGTGTTTCTAATCGGGGTCGTCAAACAGTCTCCATCGGTAGCCTCCAACTCATTGCTAGGCTGACCTTCGCACTCCTCAGATGGGTTTTTCTGTGCAGGTGAGTCCTTCTGTACAGGCGAGCTCTTCACTACACATTCATTCTTAACTAGTTTTATCTCCCGAAGGGGTAACTCCTCCTGTTCCTTTTGCCTCCCCTTTGTAATAACTCTCGTTCCATGTTCCCTATTCGCACTATTTCTGCTAATTTGTTCATCTCCCTTTTTGCAGAAGTAACTCCTTATATCACGTTGGGGGGATCCTTCGTACACATCTACGGTAGTCGTGTAAGGTGGTTCGTCATTCCGCCAGGGTAGTTTTCTCCTATATTTGTGATACCAATCCAGGAGATCTTTTTTAATGTCCGAGCTGTGCATTCTGACAAAATCGTAGTGGTACTCTGGCTCGACGTCCTCCCTGCCCTTCGGGGGGGACTCCTCCTTCTTTACATGCTTCATGTTGAAAAAAATACCTCCCCTTTGTGGGTAACTTCTTCGTTGGTAATTTTTACGAGAGCTGGGAGTATTGGGGAGGCGGCCTACTCCGTGTGGGACCTCCCTGGATGGGTGCTCCTCCGATTTGTGGCCTGTACTGAGTTATTATTGCTTCTACTGCTATTATTTATTACTGCTATTATTATTATTACTGCTATTCGATTATTATTGCTATTTGATTATTTCTGTTATTATTATTATTACTGCTATTTGATTATTACTGCTATTTGATTATTACTGCTTATTATTCTTCTTATTCCTCTTATCCTTGCTATTATTAGTTTCTGCTCCCTGCTTAGGGGGTTATTGATCGCAAGGTGAGAAATGTGTCCCCTCC